TCTTCTCGAATTATTATATCTGTTATAAATGTAAATGCATTATAAGAGAAGAGTAAATCTTTAGGTAGCTTACATTTAGAGATGTAAGCCGGTAGGGTCATCGGCGGCGCGGCTGTGATATTCTAAGGTTTTCTGTGCTTGATTTTGCTATTCCTTTACTATTCGCTGAAATTAATTCTTTCATTTCAATAAGGCTGACTCGACTCCGAAAAGGATTTTCTTTACTGAGATATTCTGTCAGTAGAATTTGAAAACAACTCTCGCGACGAATCATTCGGCTCAAGGGAGTTTTCGCTCAAGATGCGCTTCATTGAAAGTTTGTATTTTTTATTCTGATTTCTTCGGAAATTTCTAATCTCTCATAAATAACTGATTTCACTAGGAAAATTCTTTGATAAGAAAAATATGCACATATTCATTCTTGTCATAATAAACATTATACTTCATATAACTAATTGTATTTCTCACATATAGTGTTCTCTAGTATACGTGAGGGTGTAGATGCAGTTGTGGATTGATATGGGTGTGGATAGGTATACGTGAGGGTGATTGAGGGTAAAAGACTAATGCATTTCCCATACATATACCGACGCTCACGTCACCCACGTCCGCATCAAAACTAAAATGTACATTGAAGCCCACATTAATTCTCATGCACCCACTTACCCTCACAGATATACGCTGTATCGAACTCTTTTACGATTTTAAGTTAATTGCGCAGCTATTTTATTTCCGAGCCCTGCATTTTCTCTCACGTCCGCAACTCCTACATCATCAAAAACAGCTTATCCTGTTCCTACATATTGTGGATCAATGTAAAACAATATACTTAACGTACAAAAGACGTCCTGCATGCAGCACTGCAGAACATGGCAGGTTTTAGTAGGTTCTACAGCTCCTGCATCATACATTGCAGGTCGTCGCAGATTCTGGGAGGTTCTGCGAGACTTTCACGGACGTGGCAGCTTCAGGGAGACCCTGCAAGGTCCTGTAGGATGTAGCAGCTTCCATGAGGTTCTCCAAAACGCTGTAGGATGTCACAGCTTCCGGAAGATTGTGCGAGACTCTGTAAAATATGGTAGCTTTTATGGGGTGCTGCGACGCGGTGTAAGACATGTCAGCTTCTGAGAGATTCACCGAAGCTCTGCAAGATGTGGAGGCTTTTTGAAACTCCTGCCAGCCACTGCAGGACGTGGTGACTATAATGAGGTTCTCCGAGGCTGCGTAAGGTGTGGCAGCTTCTAAGAGATTCTCCAAGGCCCTGCAAGATATGGTAGCTCTTATGTGGTGCTGCGAGGCTGTACAAGGTGTGGCAGCTTCTGAGAGATTCTTCGAGGCTCTGCAGGATGTGGAGGCTTTTCGAAACTCCAGCCAACCACTGCAGGACGTGGTGGCTATAATGAGGTTCTCCGAGGCTCTGCAGGATGTGATAGCTTCCATGAGATTCTTCGACGCTCTGCAGCATGTGACATTTCCCATGAGATTCTGTGAGGCTCTGCAGGATGTGGTAGCTCTAATGAAATGCTGCATGACGGTGTAGGATGTTGCAGCTTCGGAGAGATTCTGCGACGCTCTGCAAAACGTGAGAGCTTCACGAAGATTCAGGGAAACCTTGTAGGATGTGACAGCTTCAGGGAGGTACTGTGAGACTCTACAAGGAGGAGAGGCTTCTGGGAAGTTCCTCAAGGTTCCATGAGATGCGACAGCTTCTGTGAGGTTCTGTGATATGCTACAGGATGTAGCAGCTTCTGGGGAGTTCCGTAATGCCTTCGTTCAACATTGCATGCTTTGAGTTGTTTCTGAGAGGATTCAATGCAAATATAGAAAATGCACAACTCAAACGAGATGTAAAATATTCAGAATGAAAATGCTCTATGATTTTGAAAAATTCTTAAAAGCTATACATCAAAACATAAAAGTATATTTTATAGAAAATGTTTTGGTAATTTTTTTTCACTGACAGAGCCAGAGTATGTAATCGTTTGATACTTTAGATAGGTATACTATACTTAACAAGTCTACATAACTCCATCGACTGCTCTGAGGATCATCCTTTATCAGATATGCATTCACCAATACTTTCAGAATGATCTCTTTCTAAATCTACTATATTCATACGAACCAGGTGGAGATCGTGTTCCAGCAATAACAATCATAGTAGTAATGTCGGTATCAGGCTGCATATGTGCAATTTCATTTGACATATCAGTAAATAATTCACAATTAGAAGTTGATTGATAAAAACTAGCTGCTCTACAATATACTTGAGCCAAACAAGCCATTTGACACTTCATAATAGTCGACGTAATGAGATTAAGGAATGGCAAACATGTTGTATTAGCACAACGAAATTTCCACTCACGCATTGAAGACATTCGGACTGATCGTATATCTTGTCCAACCGAATGCGTAATTATCATAAATACAAGCCACAAACAAATTCCTTTTGAAGTCATTATCCACTAAACTGCAAGTTGATGAAATGAATTTAACTGTGAATAAAAGAAAAAGAATCTGTTGGGCGATAAAAACTATTTTTTTCTTCTTTTTTTTTTCTTTCTTTCATTTCATTTCATCCGTCTAATGGAAAACTAGTCATGACTTTATTTAATTTTGTAAAAACACATATCCACTTCGGAAGACGATTTTTTTTGTTGATATGTTACTTAGAGACAAATATATTCACCAACAGGACATATTTTGTTATATGGAAAATGATTAAAGATGAAAAGCATATTGAACGATCGGCTCAATAAAATTAGATTTGAAAAGAAAATAATCAAGATTTAGTCGCAAATGAAATTTTTCTTATAAAAAACAAAATGATTTAATTCATTTGGTTCCTATATAAATTAGATATTCATACAATATATCAGTCAATTCTCCCGTAATTCATATAGAAATAAAGAAAATTGAATAGTCTACCAAACTCAAACTCACTGAATTTGGATTTTTCAATTTGCTCTAACACGAAGTATTCTATTCTTCAATTTTTGAATGATGAAAGAATATTATAATCTGTAATTCAATAGAAAGTCGCATTTTTGTTCATCAAAGTAACAGTGATCTAAACAGTTAGGATCCATGTGTATGTATGATAGTATCAATGAAAGACAAAAGATCTTGACTATTGGATAAATAAAAACAAACAGTTTTGTTCACTATTCTACAGTGAATTTAGTAATTATTTATCATAACAACACATTCTTAACTGTTTTTTTTCTCGAGGAAAAACATTTATCCACTAAAAACTTGCTTTTCTTTTCCTTCGTTTATATGCTTCTGTGATATATAATGTATGTATCAGACGAAGAAGAAAGTTGGAAAGTCTTTTTGATTATTTTTTACAAGAAACGGTAGAAACAGACAGTTAGTGAGAATAAGAATATCTACGTTTAATATAATTACAATAAGAAAAAGCACATTGTTTTACAAAAAAAAACCGTCTGTGTTGAGAAAAACAATGATGGTAGCATATGTAAACTTTTTGTGGATAGAAAACAGCATCTCCAAAACTACATTAGAAAAAATACTGAACAAAGTTGATGACGTCTTTACTTTCTTTTAATATTTGAATGTATCATACATAACTACGAAATAGATGTTTCTTTTCAACGTGTGAAGATTCATTTAATTTTTTTTAGATTTTAATAACGGTGGATTGTCAATTGACGAGTATGCTTGAGTATGAGTGAGGATGCTATTTTATCTCACATCCACCCATCGCCCTGGGTCCTGATTCTTTTTTATTTTGAAAAAATATTATCCATTTAGAAAGATCATATGCCTGTGTTGAAATGTTATTTGAGAACAAATATATTCATAAATAGACTTTTTGAGTTTTATCAAAAATTAATAAAGATGAAAAACATGAAGAATAAAGTCGATCATTAGTATCTAAACGGAGAATGATCAGATGAGCTTTTTGATTAGACAAGAGAACCAAAACAAACTGTATAATCTTCTTAACTCAAACTCACTACACTTGGATTTTTCAAGTGTGTATAACACACAGTACAACAATATTTCGAAAATCTCGCATTTGTTTTTCTTTCGTATCATTTCTATTCTTGGATTTTTAATTGATAGAAGAGTGTTATGACTTATAACGCAATAGATAAATACATTTTTGTTCATCAATGTGAAAATTACAATTGATTTCCGTGTATAATAGTGTAAATTGAAAACAAAACAAACAGTTTTTTTCAATATTCTAAAATAAATTAAATAATTGAACGAAACAATACAACATCGACTTTGTTGTAACAACGATCATTCAGAATAAATGACGAATTTCAAATATATAATTTACAATAACAAACAAAAAATACTAAAGAGGAAACAACACGAATAATCGTTATACATTAGTTGTTGCCCGTCCATCCGTTCGACCAACTTTTGCACGAGTCACTGCTGCCGGTTGCATAGGATCAACAGCACGTCTTTTTCGCCAAAATAACAATATATTTCGACGTTTAGTTCGTAGTTCAGGTAGTGACATAGCACCTGCAAATGGAGTGAGTAATATAATATAAAAACTAAAAACTAGTGAATCATCAAAATAATCGCCTCCTACTGTCCTTGGTAGACCAGCTGAATAAGCAGCATATAGTGACATAGGTGGCAACTGTAAGAAAATATAGAGACAAGATATTGGTAATAGTTGTAATGCCAGTTTCTTATACTTTTTCCAATCAATTCTGTGATGAATATGATATTTCTGATATAAGACACGTACAAAAAGACCTACACTAAATGCAACACTAATAAATGCAGGTAAAATATAATGTGCGAGACTATCATATAATGCAACCATTGGAGAAAGACTAACGCATGCATAAAGATTACATTGTCTGATTGTGTATCTCAATGGTTTATCACAAGGTACAATGAAGAAGAAAACAAAATAAAATATCATAGGATATAAGATGCATAATATCATGGGTAAATAATGAAATAGAAGACGTTTTGTTCTTGTTGAAAAATAACTTGAATGAAAAATAAGAATATGACGCTCAATCGATGCCCAAGTGATCAAAATATGAATTGATACAGTTGCTGATGAATCAATATATATCCAAGCATAACAAAATGCTGATGTTAACGATAGACTGGTACCATTACGAAAAAAATATATATTCCAAACAATACCTGTGAGTTCTTCAACAAGTCCAACCGATAGAAGAAGAATAATAACATGATTATTGAGCGCTGTACGATATCCTCGATTCTTGAGTAAATGATAAAGGACAAAAATGGTAACTAAAACAGATGGTATGAGAGGTGCCAAAAGAATCCAGAAACGAATATATCCAGGTATTGTCATATATAATATTAACTAAAAAAAAGGAACATAAAGTAAATGAATATATGTTCATGTTACATGAATTTCATTTTGTTATAAGTTAATCAATCGCTGTAAATAAAAAAGACATTTTAATATATTTATTTCATCACCAGTCAGCTAATATATTCAATAATAATAAAAACACAGAATAATATTTATATTGCCATTATGTGTTGCTTTTTTTATTCATTATATTGAGGCAAATAAAAGCTCATCAAAAAATTAAACTAACCTAATGAGTTTTTCTCAAAAACTAAATTTATTCATAAGGAACACAACAATATTATAGCGGAAGTACAACATTATCTTCTTCTTAGGCATTGATTTAAATGTTGCTTCTAGTGATAAACTATGACAAAATAATATTGAATTAAATCTGCTCATGAAACATACCACTATATTAATCAAGTCTTCAAATTTTTCTAAATTTGAGCACATCATAATGACATGTTATATATAGTTTTTCACACTGATCATCAATCTAGCATTTATCTAATAACAAAAAGAAACTCATACTTTTATGAAATATATCATTCTCGACAAAATCTTGTGTTTAGTTTTGATTTATGTGATCAACGACAATTCCTGAACTCTTAAAAATTTATCAACTTATTTGTGTTTGGACAAACTGCAATAGTAATCTCTCCAATGATATATGTTAAGAGATTGTTTATTATCTCCAGAAAGTAAAAATCGTATAAATGATGAAAGTTCAAATATAAGAAGAATACAATGATTATAAAATAATTAAAAATGAAGAAAAAAACATCATCTATTCTTTCATGTGCGAAAGAGAATCAATGTATATTATAATTTCTAAAAGTAGTACAAGCTAACAGTCATCTTTAAAATATAACCTAGAGTAATTCTAACAAATGAGTTTATATAATGAAAACAAAATGGCGTAGAGATATACTTCATCAAAGCATATTCTCTTTCTCGTAGAGAAGAATCCAGTAGAAATAAATTGTTTGCTTTCTTGCTTGATTGCTTCCTTGCGTCAGTAGGGTCAAAAAAACATCGGAGATCGATTTTTCGAAAAAGACGTTTCTTGAGATATTTTGATGCTGGGAATTCAAATGTGTACCTCATTTTCTCACACTACTAATGAGGAGGGAGGATTGATAATTGAGAGAAGTGACGTGGACTGGTAGAAACCGGGTTTTTGGGTAATGTATCTTTATGGGTATGAGTGTGCCCGTGGCTGTGAATCAGCCAAAAGTTAATGTCCACACCCACACCCACCTCCACTCTTAATATTAATTGAGTTTTGATACAATAAATTGGAATAGCATTATTTCACGAATTCTGATTTTCATACTTTGTTATTATGTAATATTATTAACATTAAATTTATTTAGCGGCAAAATTTTACATATAATTTGCTATATGACAACAGCGATAAAAAATTTTATTTTAAATAAATTTAAAACTTTTTTAATTCGACGTTTTGACTCATTTAAAGAGGGTGTGGGTGAATACACGATAGTTATCCACATCTACACCCACCCACACCCTGACTTTGGTTTACTACATACGATCAGTTTTTACATAACAATCAGTCGGTATATTCTGTCTACAATTTGAACATTTGGATGTATTTGCACATGGTGACATACAATATTTACATGGAGTAAAAGAAGTACGTGTCGATCTAATCTGAGTAAGTTGTTGTTTCAATTTATGCTATGTATTTGGTATATTATCAATTCCAAAAAGAGTTAATAGACATAAGAGATCTGACATAAATTTAATGAAAAGGTAATGACGATGTTTCAGTAAAATTAAAATACTAGCCATATCTTTCATAGTATGATGACGTTTTGTTGAAATTTCACCTTCGTGTAACCTGCAAATTATTAAAATATAATATGAATATAATCACAGTTAGTGTAAGATTTAACAGCTCGATTAAACTTATAAATCAAATATATATCACTCAATGAAAATTGAATAGTATCTACCGTAAGGAATAATACCTGTCATACACATTGATATCTGGTTCCATTTGATCTACATCCATATTGACTTTATCGGCAATATCTGAAGAAACTTCCATTTGAACATCAGCTTTGAGGGTGTGGGCGTAAGTGTAGTTGTGAATGTGAACGTTATCTTTAGATCAACAAGGGACACAAATTCACATTTACACCCACGCATTGCAGGTGTCTTTGGCTTTGAACATCCGATAGATATCATACCAATAATAAGATTTTCTCTATTTGATCGAATAGATCGTGAAAATTCGTTGATCACGAATGTCGCTACCCAAATTGATCGAGAAGTAGATTTTACTACAGCTCCATCAGAATTTAATAGTACCTTTTTTTGACTGAATCATCATTGCGTTCCAGAATAACTCTAGTTTGCGGTTTTATATATAGGGCATGATTTGTTGTTGGTTGTGAAATAAACTTATCACTATTAATGCATGTCAAAGATGATGTGCAATGAGTCGGATTTGAAGAAACTTTGTAGCATGATGGGCATGATATTACGGATTCTCCAGAAGTTGTTCTTTGATATGAACTGTAAATAAGGGAGCGAATATGTCGAAAATCAGATGGACAATTATGCACATGTTCGCTATACATCTGTTGGTTAATGACTGGCTTGATGTTAAAAGCGAGATAGTACTTGTTGCCGTGAATGGTTAGACTCAATTAAGATGAAAATGGATGAAATTATAACACTAACATATACGAACTTAAATGTAGAAAAATAGACGTTTGTTGATAAATAATATAACTGTTGTTAATACGAAGAAAAATATGTAGAATGTCGTATTTTCCAAGATTATATATATCTGCAAAAGAAGTAAGAAAATATACGACTAATAATGATGTTGATTGAATAAACGAGAACTATAGAAATGAAAATAAAAAATCATAAAAAAACAATAATCGAGTATAACGAATTCATACTTGTCCATATGAATGATCATGATGATGACGACGATGACAATTAATTCTCTCCGTATCACTAATGTACTGTCGAATTTGTTTATGTATCCATTGTCGTTGTATAACAATTGCTAATGTTGTAATAGCTAAACATTGATAATTATCAATTGCATGATAATTAGGTAATCGAAATCTTTAATGTACTGTTGTACATCAAAAATATAAATGGGATGTAGTATAGGATCCTAACAAAACAGATCATATTCTTATAATAATGCTGTTATATAATTAAGATTTCTCTATATGTAAATACGGTTTTTGCAACTAAACAATATTGATAATAATTCATAGATTCGGTTAAGCAGAACATATTGTAAATCTTCTCGTTTGTAGTGTCTTTTGAACGAATTTAATCTTAAACGTGGGTATGAGTGTGGATGTAGGCTCACAAGGCAATATATCTGAGTGCGGGTGAAGGCAGAAAGCTTGATAAATGCGAAACACTTCTTGTGATGTTGTTGAGAGTGTGTATATAATTTGACTTTTAATCTGAAAAACGGCAATCTCATTTCTTTGATTTTCTTGAAAAATTACGCACTGTCTTTTCAAGTTTGTACTTGAAAAATTCTTGAAAATTATTAAATTTCTTCGAAATAGCTAGCTTTCTGTTTTGTTTTGCAAAGATATTGCATAGAAATTGTTGTCAGTGGCGGCGGAGCGTGGAGGCTCAAGAGGCTTAAGCCTCACTTAGTTTTCAGCCCTTGAGGCTCAGCCTCAGTTATTTTCGAATTAAATATTATCTTTTATTATTAGAATTTTTTTATGATCGGCATCTAACATAATTAGATATATGTTCTGATATATCTATTTTATAATGCGGCTCACCTATTTTTTATACATTTTTATTTTCACGATGACCGTTGTATTTTTTACTGATGTATAATAAAAAGAAGACTTATATTTTACTTCATGTAGTAATAAAAGTTCAAAGTAGAAAAAAATATTGTGAGCCTCACTTAGATTAATGACGCTCCGCCGCCCCTGATTGTTGTCGAACATAAATTATAAGTTAGAGAAATTTCACAGAAGAAGTCTTTGTTTCTTACTGTCCTGTTTTGTGTGTGAGTATGGGTGAGGGCGGCTGAGGGTGCGGTTTAAGAAGAGGCAGCCACACCGAACTCGAACCGATTCTGAAACAACAAATTCAAATCGAAGTGAGTTTAAGAAAAGTGAATCAAACCGAGCACGACTCACTAAAACTCGATTTGATCTTTTTTTATTACGCGAAAAACTGTGATCCTAAGATCCTAACAGTACGTATGAGTAAAAAAAAAGAGTAACAAGAGAACACGAGAAAGAATAACGAAAGTAAAGATAAAAAACGCATATTAATAAAAAAGAAAAAAGCACCGTTAAAGATGAGACGGAAAAATTCCATTCGATTTGATCTTTATTTCCTATGCCAGTATACGAATACGATCGTTACTGTTATACAAATTAATATGTAACTGCCAAGGAAATGGACAGTCGTTCAAGTCAATGGCGATAGAATTCTTTTGCTTCGTACGTTCATTTTCAAGTTCGATAGTTTGACTGTCACAATTTAATGTTAAGTAAAGTATGTCGTTTTCAACAATATCCCCTTGATAATTATTGTATCCAACGTTGTATTCACCATTTAAATACACATGCTTGAACATGGCCCATCCGTTGCTTGATTTTGAAGAGAAAGAATTATTTTGAGTTGCAGTATTTTGTGATATAATTCCCCAAAACATCCAATTGTTATTCGTCATTTTTTCAATCTTCAAACCGATTTTGTGAGTTCCCGCTGAGTATCTCGTGAAACCTCGAACTTCAGCAGCAATTTCTGCTTCATTATGTTCTGCAACGAGACCGTTTTCTAATATATGAACATTATCACATCCTTTCTCAAATTTTTCTGATGAATTAATGGGAGCTGTCATGATTTCAAGCCGTTGCAACCATGTTTCATCTTTTATTTTCTGTAATTTTACATCTGATGGTGTTGATAACTGATTTTTCAACTTTTCCAGTACTTGTAGCCATCCAGTTAAATCTTTCTCCGAGTAACCATTGGCCTCTTTACCTGTCTTCAATTGAGTTGAAATTTCTTCTAGTTGCTTTGTAACCAATTTTTTATTACTGGTCAATAACTGATCAAGATCACATCGAGCTTTTTCTGCTGCATGTCTTATCTTCTCCACACTCTCACGTTCCCAGTTATTGATTTCCATCATTAATGGATGTTGACTTAACACTGTATCTTGTTCATTGAGTTGCTGTTGAAGAAGATCGTGATGATAAATGACATTATCCATTGGTTTTATTCAATGTGTCGTTCTAAAAAATGAAAGAAACGAAAAGAATCCATTGTATAAAGAAGATAATTATACTATAAAACTACACTCAGAACATGTAGTACATTAAAAAATAATGTTTATTTAGAGTTAAAATAAAGATGTGGGTGCGACTTAACAGAAGATAAATTCTTACCCGCTTTTATACTCACAAACATACACACACTCACCCTCTTTGTGAAATACGATCTAAATCAAGTCCTGAATTGTATAGAGGTATACATCATTAATTAATATAGAATAGTTAGCAAAATCTAATAGGTGTTAATCAATTAGTGCTAGTCGGCATCGTCGACTATGTCGAACACTACTCAGTCAGGTAAGCTTTGAAAAAAAATGACGCTTCTACACGTTGAAAAAAATTTGTTTTTTGCAAAAAAAATCAAGCTGGTAAATATTAACGTTGTGTGATTTATTTTTCTCAAGAAAGAAATTCTTTTTCGATGTTTGTCTGACTCGATAGCAAAGGATTACTCATAGTATGATGAAAGATTGTCGCAGGACGTAACTTATGTGATTGGGTGGGCTTAATACGAATGACAGTAGCTACTTCATTTTTCTCGTTCTAAACCCAGAGGTGTCGCTAGCAGCAATTATTTCAAAAATATTGTCAATGTATTCTATGATATTTTTTATTGAAGCGAGATTGGATTTTCTACTGACGCTATCATTTAATAAACTGACTACTTTAAAAGTTATTACTAATAATTTTAATACTGATCACTTAAATGGTAATCTTAAAAAAATAATATTAATAAAAATATCATTGAATCTTGAGGCTGGGTATGAGTAAGTGGAAGTGGGTTGATTGAAGAACAGTTACAATCAATCCATATCTAGACCCTCAAGCCTTCGTGACATCACTATAGAAGGAGAAATATTCTTATTCGAATCAGAAGAATTATGTAAAAAATAAAAAATCAGGCTTTCCTTACACATTTTAGTGTGAACGATGACATGGGCATAACTTTTGATCTTGAGGGTGTGGGTGTGTGTATCTCATTTCGCCTACCCATACCCACCCTCAAGATGGTCATATCAATATTCATCATCAATTGAATCAACACATTTATTTAATAATAATTTAATGATTGAAGAATTTCATATTCTATCAAATACCGCTAATAAAAATGTTTTTTATGTGATTATTTTAACAACAAATCATTGGATTCAAATCTATCCAAGTCACTTATTTGATCAAAAAGCAATTTTTGAATTAAATCTTCAAACATCATCACGAATTAATACAACACCCGATGGAATTATTTTTATTTTAACAAAAAATTCTTTCATTTATTCAATTGGTCAAAGAATTCTTCGAAATACTTCAATTGAATTTTATCAAATAAATAAAACTCAATTACAAATTCAAACTTCAATGATGTTTAGTTCAATTTGTACAATAAATTAAGAAGATCAAAATGATAAGATAATGCAAAAATATATTGCTCCAGTTAGTTCATTTCGTTTTGTTACTCGAGGGTGTGGGTGTGGGTAGTATATTCATCTCTTACCCACACTCTCTCACACCCACATCCTCACATAGTTGACAATGATATTAGTGAAATACAATATGATGTGACAGATCTAATTCCTTAACACTAATCACTGAGTCTTCTTTGAAAAACAAGGCATCAAAGGTTTGTATTATATCAACATTTTGGTTATACTTTCTTTCTTTATTTTATTAAAAATTGAATAAAACAATTGATAATCAGCTCGAATCGTAATCATGATGCCAATATTTCGAAAAACAGAGTCTTTTATTTTTCATCTTCAAATGGTTTTGTAGTTTGATCGAGATTTGGTTGTTGTAAAGTTTTAATTTCGTGAGTATCTAAAGTATAACGATCAACATCAGTCAAAGTCAAATGACTAGAAAAAGTTCATTACTTTATTGTTTTGCAAAGCATCACCAAGGTATTTAGCCCCAACGTCTCCAATTTTATTTTTTGAAAGATTAATCGAAGTGATCGTCTATTCAAAGTAGAATGATGATTACTGGTTAAATCAATCAAAAATATTTTTTACCCTATTGTTTCGTAGCATATCAGCTAAATATTGTACTCCAATATCGCTTATTCCATTTTTCTCAAAATTCAACTTAGTGATTGTCTATGCCACAACAGAAAACATAATCATTAATTGAATTATATAACAAAATATATTACTTTGTTGTTGTATAATTCATTTATCAATAATTTTATTTCATTGTCTCCATATTGTTTCGATTGAAGATCTATTTTAGTGAGTGTCTGTCAGAAAAAAGTAAAACGTTAAGTAGAAAGTCAATCAATCTTAAAAGACCTTATCATTTCGAATTCTAATTACCATCCCAACAGCTTCACAATATTTACTCTTATTGTAGTGTAGTCTCATTTTTGTAATTGTCTGAAAGAAAAATAAATTTAGTTAAATGAAAAACATTACCTAACAAGCAAACTTTGTTGGTTTCCAATGAGTTGAATAGTAGCTGTGCCCCAATATCTCCAATTGCATTGCTTGAAAGGTCAAGTGTAGCCAGCGTCTGTTCAAAAACAACAATATTAATAATAATACTCAAACGAGTTAATAAACAAGTTTACAGTATTCTTTCGCAACATGTCAGCTAAATATTGAGTTCCAGTGTCTCCAATATAATTCCTCGAAAGATTCATCAACGTAATCATCTGTGTCAAATGAAAAAAAAATCATTAGGATATATAAACCTAGAATAAATCTCACTTCATTCGTTTGTAATGCATCACTTAAATGTTTTATTCCAATATCTCCGATTCTATTCCGGGAAAGGTCCAACTCAACGATTGTCTATATCATAATAAAATTATGATCGTCGATGGAACACAAATAGAGAAATGACGTTACTTTATTGTTGATTAGTGCATCGGTCAAAAATTTCATCCCAATGTCATCGATATTCTTCTCACAAAGATTTATTTTTGTAATTCTCTTCAGAAAAAGGTAAAAAATTGTGAAAAGGAATTTGGAAGAAACGAATTACTTTGTCATTTCGTATTTGAATTGCTGCACTCACAGTTCTACAATAGTGACCAGGATTTCCTTTGAGGTCCAATTGAATAAGGGTCTATACCGAAGAATGACAATACTTCAGATAAATAAGAAGTGTTGAAGGTTTACTTTGTTTTCTTTGAGAGCATCATTAAGATACTGTGCTCCATTGTTTTCGATTTGATTGTAGGAGAGTTCAAGGATAGTGAGTACCTATGCAGGAAAAGATAAAGTTCACTATGATGAAAACTGATACACGTTATCAATCACTGTATTGTTTTGTAATGCATCAGCTAAATGTTTTGTACCAATATCTCCGATTTTATTCTCGGAAAGGTCCAGTTCAATGATTGTCTATATCACAGTGAAACTGTGATCATCAATAAAACAAACCGAGAAATGACGTTACTTCATTATTGATTAGTGCATCAGTCAAAAACTTCATCCCAATGTCATCGATACTCTTCCAGCGAAGATCAATTTTATTGATTGTCTTTAGAAAAAGGTAAAAAATTGTGAAAAGGAATTTGGAAGAAACGAATTACTTTATCATTTCGTATTTGAATTGCTGCACTCACAGTTCTACAGTAGTGACCAGGATTTCCTTTGAGGTCCAATTGAATAAGAGTCTATACCGAAGAATAACTATACTTAAGACAAATGAGAAATGTCGAAGGTTTACTTTGTTTTCTTTGAAAGCATCATTAATATGTTGTGCTCCACTGTTACCGATTTGATTGCAGGAAAGGTCTAAAATGGTAAGCGTCTGTGTATAAAGTAAGAAATAAGTATGATTTAAATGAATCTAAGAAGTATTTAACTTGATGGTTTCGTAATGTGTTAGCCAAATGCTGTGCTCCAATGTCTTCAATCTCATTAAATGAAAGATTAACTGTAGTTAATGTCTGAATCATAAATAAAAGGCGAATTTTAGTATATTTAATTTGAAAAAGATGTCACTTTGTAGTTCAGTAGCGCCAGAGCTACATATTGTATCAGATTATCTCGAATTTGATTGCTGAAAATGCTTAATTCAGAGGATGCCTATTTAAAAACATAACAATATACATCATGAAATGCAAACGGGAATGAAGAATCATAGATGAGAACGAAAGCGTACTTGATGAAACGTCTGTATTGCGTATGTGTTTAAGTTAGATTCTAAAAGTAGACATTCTAGTCTACAAAAATATCTCATAAGAGAAGATTGTGAGATATATCAAAAGTATGGGTTTTCTTAGCTGAAACGCATATGATTATTCTTATGCGTATAAGAAAGTTGTGTCATACTTACCTCTTCTTTGCCACTATAGCTTGCATTGTAACTTCTGTGCAAAATTAAGCAACATCTAGGGTTTGTTAATGGTACTTCAAACACAGGGGACCTTATTGTGGCATCAGCCTCTATACAGAGTGGTGTTGTATAAAGCATAATTTTCGATTCTTGTAAAATATAACCACAAGTAACAAACCACTTTTTGTTGTTGAGCCAGAACGGAGTTTGACATGATAAGATAAGTGAATCGTAAGTAGTGATGTCATCGAAATTATTGTGACTACAAGTGAGAAAAAATTGAAATTGATTCAGTAAAAGTAATTTTTGTTGAATGAATTTTTCCCAATAAGAACCATCGAATATCGAATCAAATGTTGATCTAGATGAAACCAGTTTCAGATGACTAAGTGACGGTGTCAGTGTAAGAAGACACTCGAGCTCTTGAGGCGATAGTTGGCAGTCTCCAATAGTCAATGAAACCAATTGCGGATACACTGTTAAATCAAAACATAGAATATATAATCTTTCATAACCAAAATTTAATAGATAGTCAAAAATTGGGTCTATTTCAGTTTTTACTGGTAAACCTGAATTAGATTGAAAATTAAAAATGTTGCAAAACATGGTGAGCTCAAAACTGTCTAAGTGAAACTGAGGGGAAGTAAAAGTGTTTTTCTTTGATATGTTTACTTTGTAAATTATTCAAGTGAATATTTTTCACTGTTAGCTATTGATTCTATCGAAAGAAAAATCATCGAGGTAAAGTGTCGAAAATGGGGATGAAGGCAATCTAGGTGTGCTAAAAGTACTTTCAGTATTTTATCTTTCGATATTTTCATTATTCTTAGCGTCTATGCAGAGAATTTTCAATTCGAGTATTAGAATGTGCTTCATATCTCACCTCGTTGGTCAACCTACGATTGCTGTATTGCATAAAATGAACCTAATTTTAATTGAACGAATGATTCATGCTCTGTATAGAGAATACATACGTAAGTATAACAGTCTAAGAGAGCAGAGTAGAAATCGATAAAAATGTTTTGTTAAGTGAAAACTATCCTAAATAGTACTTGTCATTTGAACTCGTTTAATCGGATCATGGCTTGACTGAATAAATCTATGGGAACAAACTCTTTTAGGCTTTTGGTAGTCTAAGTGGAATCTCTTTGTGAGCCTAATATAAGTTAAAACGATGAGTATCTCTGTATTCTTATTGTAATGGCTTGAGAGCCCATTTTACAGTGCGGAACACTATTAGGGAGCCGAGACTTCTATTCAAGATGTTTTCCGGCTAGACTGTGATCCTAGTTATAACCTTAAGCATCCGGAAAGAACTACTAACTATACGATGAAATAGATGATGTTTGAAAGGTGCACATTTTATTCTGTACCTGAGGAATCAATGAGTGTACGCTGTCTTTTTGCAGAACTGGATGTTGAAAGTGCATATGAAGAAACCGTTTGATCGTTATTGTCCATAATACAGTTTCTAATAACAAGTGTTCTTAAATGGAGTGAGTTACCGAGAATGATATGATATTGGTGATAAGAACAATCTCTGATTGTCAGTTGTTCTAATGTACTTTGAATAGGCCATGGCATTAGATTAGTTTTATAATCTAGATCATTTAAATGTAATTTTTGAAGATTAGTTTGAACGACAACTGGAAAGATAGTTGACAAGAGTGTGTTGTCTGTTCGCTGACGCATATTGGATCTCAGTGAGAATTGATAATCATAGTTAACACGGTGGTAAAATTCGCTCCTTTGATTGCAGTTGACTCCATAAAGAGTCAATGAACGAAGTCTAGTGAATTGGCTAATGTTGACGTTTGAGCGAAAAAAATTGATGCACCATTGGTCGGCATATTTATCGGAAAAAATTAGTGAAATGATGTTAAAAGGTTGAACAAGACGAAAAATATTTTTAAACGAAAAATTTCTCAATGAATTGAAGCTGGCAGTTGCATTGAAATCGAGTTGAAAACGATTATAGGAATTGACAACTGCATGAAATTGTCTGCAAACTGAACGGATTGAAACAACAATGGTGTACGCATCGAGATGATCAAAGATACGATGCAGAAGTTCAACAGGCAAACAGACAAGTGTTGAGTCTGACATTTATCTAAAAACTCAGAATAAATTAATAAATATTAGACTAAATGGTTACTCCTTCGTAAACACATTAAAAAAATTGGTACGAAGCGATACTTAAATAGTTGAGACGATATCCAAACCTTTTTTAAATTCTATCTCGTATTTGATTATTTTCATTCTAAAGCGCATGCAATATATATATAACAAAATACCCACTAACTTATCTTTTATCTTAAAAGCATGCGCACGCAAAATATAATTTATTTTCTCATGTTGACGACAACACATATATACAAATACTTCAGACGTTATCAAACCTGTAGAACAGAAACTGTGTCTTTAGAACAAACTAAACAAATTATTTGCATATACATTCAAATATCTCATGCTATTATTATCGAATATAAAGTTATATTCTGAAACAAATCAGATACCAATTTACAATCTGGCTGTAGTTTTGAATAATTTCTAATACTACTGGAATTAGATTCTTTACGATAATATAATTTATCGATATTTATTTGTGATGTTTCATTAGTTTGAGGATGTGAGGGTATTAGCGTAGGTGTCAGTAAAAAACAGGTATGAATCACTCAAAGATCAATGTCCACTCCTACACTCTTACCCTCAAGATTATATTAGTGAATCTGTAGTCTTTTTATAATTCATCAATAATAGCACATAAGTGGGAGTAAAAATTATAATGTTTGTGTTGAGATGATGAAACTTGCTCTACTGATACTGCTTTTTATTTATAAATTGTTCGAAAACATCATCACTAACAATATAAACCAATGAATCGATCAGCTTGTAGTTATAATCATCCGTACTAAATTTGGCTCTTTCCAGTAGAAGTTAAGATTTCTTCAGCAAAATTTTGAAATTATTCAGAAAAAAACTAGACGACACAATAAGCAACAAGTCTTTTTGTCGAAGAAACGGAATAACTCAGAAGAGTCAATAAAATAGAAAGATACTATTGCTACACAGAACTTCTCTCTTCTCATGAAGCTGTTTGTCACTAATAAGCCACATTGTATCATTACACTTATCTTTTGTTTCTGTCTTTTTCATTAATGGAAGTAATCTATTCTGATACAGAAAATATAAATATATGCGTATTATATATTTATTTTCTCTTTTCATCACGTCTTCGACATACCATCAAAATACATCTAACCCACACCCTCAAGATGGGTATAGAAATTCTCTTCATAGCTCAACCCCACATACATCTACTTATGGGTGGACGGGTTGATGAGTGTCATTTCATCGTTTTATCACCTCGTAGTCCCCTTCCCCTCTCAAATTAACTAATGAGGGTGTGGATGTTATTATAATCGGAAACCCACCCACACCCGCTCACCTACACCCTCAATTAAAAGAAATCTATATCGAATTTAGATATTTTATTTAAATGTTTTTTTCAAAGAAACAACAAATACATTTAATACTAACAACATAAAACATATAAGAAAACATGTCAAGTAATAAATTAATCTGTTACCGGTGTAATTTCTACTGATCGACGTCGTATTAATTTAACAAGAATGACTGCAATTAATCGACAGATGATGGCAACACCACCATATAGAGAAATAAGTTCAATAATTCCTTCTTTGAAATTGCTTTTCTTATAAATACATAATGAAGGTTTACATTTACTAAAATAAATCTCATAATCTAGATCGTGTATAAGGTTTTCCACCATTAATTCACTGAGCAATGCTTCATATGTTGTATTGATCGAAAAACGACTTGAATTCCCTGGATTACTGAGTGAGTTATTATTGCCTGATTTATCCACACATTTTGCATCGTAGAGACACGCCATTGGTAATTGTGAAAAAGCTTCGGTGACATAACAACCATACTTTATTCCAAAAAACTCTTTTGTACACTTCGGAGTCAGTCCACAATCACATCCTTGCTCGACAACTGGTATAGTATGTACAGTATATCCAGGAGTGGAAATATTATCGGATGGATCAGCAAATATCCAACTAGAACCATAAGTATTCATTAATTTGTTTGACGTTACTGTCATTCATGCTAATTCAAATGTATTTACTAATGTTTTTGAGACTCGCCTTGGAAAATCATACATAATCGTTTGGATATATTCTGTTAATGAAGATTTTGACATTAGTTGATCATTGACTAGATTACTTGTTAATAATTTTTTGAGCGATTCTTTCAATGTTTCCTTCGATAATTGACAAAGTCCGTTGAGGGTGTGGGTATGGGTGTGGGTGTGGGGTGTGGGTGGGTGTGGGTGTGGGTATGGGTGTGGGTGTGGGTGTGGGTGTGGGTGTGGGTGTGGGTGTGGGT